AGAGTAGAAGTTCCTGACAGGGACCAGAAAGATTTAGATGGGACCACACACACACACACACCCCTGCACTAAAAAGAGTAGAAGTTCCTGACAGGGACCGGAAAGATTTAGATGGGACCACTTGGGAGACGAGCTGGTTCACTGCAGCAAACATATTATCTGGTTGCCATCTCTAGGAATGAACCACCCCATCCCTGCTGTGGCCCAAACAGTGGTTAAATCTCTAAGCAAGATTTCCAGTGGGTAGGAAGATTGCATTATAAGATACAATCAGATGGGGAAATAGCTCACATTTCAGACTCATTTTGACACAATAGAGTGCAAGCTATTTCCCAGTGATCACGTGACATTTTGGGAGATTGTGACCCAGCTCAACCTTGATCCATGCTCAAGCCAGACCTTTTTGGCCCACTATAAGGGTTACATTTTCTTTTCAGGTGAGGCTGACACAATTCCTGCATGGACGGAAGGTTCATTTTAAGGGACATCACTCCCAGCAAAATGACCTTTCCAGTGTGACAAAATTCTGATCACACCTATAATACCCCCTTATATCACCTTTCCTATTACTGTTGTTCCAGGGATGCAAATGGAACTCACCATCTGACCTAAATCTTCACGTTCTTCCTCTCCTTTTCTGTGACACATGTTCTGCATTTCATCAAATGTCTACATAGATGACATTTGCATGTTGGATTTCACATGCCTGTTCATCTATTGCAGTGGTTCTTAACCTTTGTTACTCGGATGTTTTTTAACTGCAACTCCCAGAACCCCCAGCCATCACAGTTGGTGGTGAAGGCTTCTGGGAGTTGCAGTCCAAACCTCCTGAGTAACCCAAGGTTAAGAACCAGTGATCTATTGTAACATGGGATGGATAAGGTTTGACAAGCAGTAGAATAAGCAGGTTGTATACAAGCAGTAGGAAATTATGACTGATTTTACATATGGCAGGATTCTTCAGAAACTAATTTATAGCAGAAGGCATACAATAGATGCAACCCTAGCCTGAATATCTGGAGGGATGCATCCTCCCAAATCAAACAGCTGATGCACTGAAATCATCACATGAGTATCATGTTGAAGAAGATTCTCATTTGATGAACATGCCCTGACACCTCATCAGTTAGCTGGATTTACCCAAGGCAAGTTAAACGAATCTTATGCGAACACCAATAGAATTCTGGCCAGTTAGCTTTTATTATTTATTTATTTCAATGCACAAAATTGACAATACAAATTTCTGTAACAATTCATAGAAAGCAAAAGAGTGTGTTCTTATCCAATGTACAGCAAATATTGCTTACATTTCATAAAAAATATCTTTGTATCCTCTGATACTATGCCAATTCAGTCAATGGGGCAATGTTTCATATATGGTTAAACAAGTCATTTACAGAAAAAGGCTCTGGACTTTTTAAAACTCCAGTTCATTGCTATATCACTTGCCAGCAATAAATAGGTACAAGTAGCAACAAAACCTGTTCAGAGGGGGGCATGAACTGCCGATTTAGGGGTTTGTGCTGACATTTAGTGGCTGAACAGGTGTTTAGTGTGTCACAGCCCCACCTCATCCAGAGGACACCCACTGCCTGTGAGTGGGTGCCTGCTGGAGGAGGTGGGCCTTTGAAGCACCAAACATCTGTTTGGCCACTAAAGAACTGGCACGAATCACCAAATGCCCATCTCTGATCCTATTAATTAACAACTCTTTTATTATAAGCCATTGTATGGCCAAAATTCTATTGCTTCATGTAGCATAGCTTCTTTACGGTGGCACCCTGTCTTTGCACTAGAGTAGGCCCATTGAATCAATGGGGATTTAATGAGTCAGCTCTACTGATTCAAATGGGTCTATTGGGATTTATTTTAGCATAGTAAGTTGCAGAGCAGGCCCATTTGAATCAATGGAATGTATGCAGCAGTTGACTCCCTAAATCCCATTGACTCAGTGAGCCTATTCTAGTGTAATATACTATCTAAGTAACAGGATTTTGCCATATGTGTTCTATTACACAAAATTATTGTCTTTTACGTACAGTACATTCCCCTCAAGTCTTCTTTGGGATGAATGTGTGGCACATATATGTTCTGAGCAAAGAAATATGTTTACTTGTGCATATGAAATCATACATCTAATGCTGATTTTGGCCAGTAGCCTGTTTGAATTACTATACACAGAACAACTGTTGCAGAAGCAGATGCACCTAGGTGTTGGGTGCATGTTTGGTCATATAAATAGATATATGCTCAGCATGCAACCAGCATCTTGTCAAATAACCACATCTGCTTCAGCAACTGCTGCTTTGTACACATTGATTTTAACAGAATACTGCCCTTAGTGTTTGAGATTCCATATGTTAAAGCATTAGGCCAGAGGAAGGGAACATCTGGCATTCCAAATTTCGATTAATCCCAGCCATATGGCCAATGATCAGGAAATGGTAGTCCAATGACAAGTAGAAGGCCATAGGTTCTCCAACCCAATATTAGGAACAGGGTTTCCTAATGCTGCCTTGGTAGTAATCCAGCAATTATGTTAAAGCCTGCTTGGTACATTGGTCACTGAATGTAGGCAGTTGAAGAAGATGGGGTCACTCCAAGAAGAAGAAAAGGATTCCTTACCAGTCTAGAGTTCATTTTGTTGGTGTCATCTTCAGGCATGGGCAGATATAGAGCCAAGGCCACACAATTAGCAAAGATGGTCAGCAGGACAATGGTTTCAAAAGGCCTGAGAATACCTATTAAGGAAAGCCTGGTTGTGTCATAATATTTGTAGCATGACCCTGAATAGTTAAAAAATCAATGAAAATCCATTTGCACTAATAATAAATATAGCTTAATGAGAATTGTACTGGGAAGTCTCATACTAGAAGGCAAAGGCACAAAACTGTAAGAACCTTTTAATAGCATTTTATTTAGTATAATACTTTGCATAGAACAACTCCTTTCTAAAATTTCACCTTTATCCTCTCCCAGTGAATTCCTCTTACTCCTGAATTGTCTCTGTATACAATGACCACCACTACACTGAAATCTAATGAAGGGTGTTCTATCTCCAGCACACTTCATAAAATAACCAGACAGTTGGGGGCATATGAGGTTCCTTGGATTGTATATTAATGTAACTTGATGCAAAGCTCCCAGTGAATTCCTCTTACTCCTGAATTGTCTCTGTATACAATGACCACCACTACACTGAAATCTAATGACACACACACACTCTCCAGCACACTTCATAAAATAACCAGACAGTTGGGAAGAGAGAGAGAATAAGTTCCCTGTGTGTGATGACAGGCTACTTGACCTTCACAATGATAAATACAGTTGTTCCTCAAGCTAGACTTCAAACACATAGGAACCTTAACACGTGGGGAAAAAAACCCTCTTCTCCCAGAACTCAGCGTGTTTCATGTATATAATAAATCAAGGACAAATGTAGCTAATGAAACAGCCCAAAAAAGAATGGAATATGGGGCTTGGTATCGGAACTGAGCCAGCATGAATTTTTTTAGAGATCAGTCTAAGGGTTCCTCCAGACTAGGTGATTTGAAGCACCTTGTTGTTGATTGTGAAAGGAGTGGAAACACAGCAGTTGCTGTAGTGATCGACAAGAGAAAGCTAAAACCAGCTGAGATAATGGGGGAAATAGATGTGTGTATCTGTGTGATGAGTATAACTGGGGAGCACACATTCATGTCAGACATGCATCTCTGGGATATTCCCAACACCTCTGGGCATCATCCTACACAGGCATCTCTACTTCCTTACTGTACATATTTTCTCCAAATAGCCATCTCATTGTAAAAATCTCCAAATCAGTGTCCCATTGTCTATATTGTCCCATTGTTTGCTATTTAGAATAAAAAATGGCAACAGTACTTATTAAATTTTTAGAGCACTTCACATACATAATTTCAGCACCCCTTGTTTGGTATTATTATCAGTAGTTTTATGTGGTTGCTAGAGATGGGGACAATGTGAGTTCATGCTAGAGGCAAGATGTGAACTGGGGGTTTCATTGTTCTTGGTTCATTTCTTACTACCAGCACTCTATGGCTTGTGCCTTATTTCTCTCTCCTATTGATTCACCTGCTATTGTCATCCTATGGGTCATCTCCCCTGCTGCTAACCAGCCAGACTCAAGATCACAGATTCCTTCAAGGGAAGAATTGTAACAATTCCTTTGCTCCCACAGCACACCATGCCTGAGAGATGGCATCATTTGGAATTAGGTTCCGTGACGTTTGAATTACAAGCAAGCTTAAAGACATGAGTCTGTGTTACTACTGCCTGTAGGCCACACACAATCATTTTATTCTAAAGCAATTTGGATAGTAATAAAGTTCCATTTTCCTTCTTTCATCCACCATTTAACCAATACAGTACTGAGATATTTTATCCCATTTCAATTTCGACTTCTAGACAAACTATTTACTCCTTGTTACAGTCTCTGACTCACAGAAGACTGACACCTTCTGTGACTCCAGTAATGATCTGTTTTATGCCAGTGATTTTAGCATGAAACCACACAAAGGATTGTCCTGTCCAAACCCCAGAATTAAAATAGTATATTCACAGCATCCATCCAAATACATATAAAAGACTAGTTCTTCATAACTGCTAATCTACATTGCCCAGAGAACCTGGCTACTACATGCAACAAGCAGCGAGCAACAGAGAATAAGATGCCGCTTAGCAAGTATGCCTGTGTCATTAAAAAAAAACAACTTGGTAAAACAATTCATATGACTCCAGAAAAACAGTCAAGTTACAAACTATAGAGGGAATATAATGAAAAAGAAACTGATAAAAGGATCACAAAAATGTGACTTGAGGGGAATTCTTCTTGGCAACAAATATACAGATTATGATCACTGGATCCTGACTCTGAAACAAATCACTGGAAATTCAATTATAGTTTGAAATCTATGCAAATCTCTTCGCCTAGTACTGTTTTAGAGTCACAATTTTTGAAGTGTGCTATTTCCGACAAACATTTTTAATGTGCAAGTGAGCATAGATTAACAACGTCTGATCTAGCAACTCGTGATCTACACTCACATACATAAATCCACTCGCAATTCAAGCCATAATCAATAAACAGCTTCTCTTGTGAATGCTTTCCTACTCCTTGTGCCTCTTAATAGTTACAGACATAAATACCAGATTCCAATAAATTGTTTTGCAGTGCTTTTGGGGAATACAACAAGCTCTACTGGTAACAAAATTATTTCCCAGCAATTCTTTTTTGCCTTTGCTTCCACCCAGGATCAGTTGCCTATGCAAAGTTCCTGGGCTCCACACTGTGTATATGTCAGCCTAGAGGCAACTCAAAAAGTTCCTCAAAAGGATACTTCCATTCGACAATAGCAATACAGGCCTTGCGCACTGGGTTCTGGAGAGTGAGACAGAGTAGAGACCGAGGAGGCCGAGGGGGAAGTTCTAATGCTGCTTTCTTAGCCTTTTCCTTCTGTTGCTTTTTCTTCAGGCTATCATCCAGGGCAGAAGCAGGCTCCATGATTGCTGTCTCTTCCCTGGTTGCCTACTCCAGACAGACCGGCCTCACCCCCTCTTCCTCCACCTCTTTGCCCCAAATCCACTTTCCCTTCACATAGAAGGCTGAAGCTCCCTACGGATTTCTTTCCTGCTGAACCGACCTTCTCTGTCTGGTGTGGACTGGAGGGCTAGAAATTACACCCTCACTGACACAAATACACCAAGCGCCAGTTTATAATTAGCCACCAGCCTGGCTCCCAGGACTGTCAGATTTCCTGAGGCAGCAAAAGGGCCTCAACAGCTGTCCCTTCTTCATACTCGATTCATGGCCATTTTTGAGCTACCAATCCAGGTCAGGGAAGGGATGTGGGTGGAGAGATGGGCTTCACACATCAACACTATGGAAGGAAGGTTCCTATTCACTTCATTTCATCTATGACTGATTTATAAAGGAGGTGGTGCAGGTCAGATTAGACATACAGTATTCCCTATGATCAACTCCATCCCACAGTGGGATTTCTTGAATCCTACTAGCAAGAGAGGTTAAAAGTAATGAAAAGGGTTTCCCAGCTATGCTAGAAGCAAGAGAACTGACAGGGACACAGAAGGTCTTCTGCTTAGAGAGGATGGATGATTACTAAGAGGTGACAGAGAGAAGGCAGAAGGGCTGAATACCTACTTTGCCCCCCTCTTCTCCCAAAAAGAAAATAATCCTCAGCTAGGTACAAGTGGAATAAAGGAGTGAGGGAGTAGACTGCTGCCCTTCTGTTTACAGAAGTACAGTATGTACAAGAATACCTAACTACGTACTTTAAAATGAATTCAGATCTCCAGGGCCAGAAGAACTTAATTTTAGAGTACTAAAGAAACTTCTGGATCTAATCTCAGAGTCTCTGTCTAATATTTTAGAGGTTTTGGTCTTTGGGAACCAGAGGCAAGCAAATATTTTCCCTGTTTTCAGCAAGGGGAAAAAAGAGCTGGGTAATCATCAACTGATCAACTTGATTCTGATAACAGGAAAGGTACTAGAAGGCACTAAGCCATTGCCCTGCAAGTATTTAGAAAAGAACACTATTGTTTCTAAGACCAAATTTGGTTTTCTCATCAAGAAGTCATGCTGGGCTAATTTACCTCATCTTTTTTTTAAAGTGTCACAAGCTTGGTAGACAAGGGGAATGATGTGGACATCGTGTATCATTGAGTCTTTAAACAAGGTCCCTCATTATATTCTTATGGCTGAACTGGTCAATTATGGACTAGACAAGGCTACTTTCAGATGGATTTGTAGCTTTTTGATAGGCCATACTCAAAAAGTGCTGACTAATAGTTCTTGTCTTCCTAGAGAGAAGTGACAAAAGATGTACTATCTCTCTTAGGCCCTGTGTTGTTCAATATTTTTATAAATGACTTGGATGAGGACAGGATGATAATCAAATTGCAGATGACACCAAACTTAGACGGTTAATACTTCAGAGGACAGAACTGGAATTCAGGAGGATTCTAACAGATTGCAGAACTGGGCCCAAAGAAGCAAAATGAGTTTTAACAAGGAAAAGTAGAGAGTCCTGCACTTTGATGGGAAAATGAGATTCACAAATATAGAATGAAAGACAGCTGGCTTCGCATAATACTATGTGAAAAGAATCTGGGCATCCTTGCAGACCACAAGCTAAACATGAGTCTATACATAGTGAGATGCAGCAGAAGCAAAAGTCAATACAGTACTATACATTAACGGTAATACAAGCACAGTGTTAAAATCAAAGGAAGTAACAATGCCACTCTACTGTTCTTAGATTAGATCAAGAAGGATATTGAAAGCTGTAATGTGTGCAGAGCAGGGTGATCAGGACATCTGTAGACAAGCCCTATGAAGAGTGGTTCAGAGAACTCAGGGTTTTTTTTTAGCCTAGATAGAAGACTGAGGGGTGATGTGATAACTATCTTCAAATATTTGAAGGACCATAATGTGAAAAATGGAACAAGCTTGTTTCCTCCAGCTCCACAGGGTAGATCTTGAAGTAATGGATGCCTATTACAATTGCAGGATAAGTAATTTCCATTAAACATTAGTTTTATATTTACAGTACTTCCTGACAATAAGAGTTGTTAGACAGTGGAACAGACTGCCTTGTAACATGCTGGATTCTTCTTCGTTGCAGAGGTTCCATGCCATTGAACACTTCTTAAGATTGCTTTAGTGCAAGGAATTGGGCTTGATGACCTTAGGATCATCAGTAAGATTTGAAAATTAAGCCTATGCTTACCCTATGGATTTAATTCACAAATCTTTTGATGAAGTATGTATCTCTCACTATGGTAGAGGAGAGAGGTTAACTGTAGGCAGTATCTCTAGTCTGTACCTTCTCCTTTAGGTGTAAGACTCATTCCGTTCCTACTCACCACAAGTTGGATTCAACTTGACAGCATATAATAATTTACCTTCCAAAGACAATTCACAAATCAAAGCTCATTAAATACAAGATACATAGGTGAAGAAGATCATGCACTATGACAACAGGTGCTCTCTGACATTTAAGGAAGCACATGTTCTGAAAAACGGGGTAGATGCAAATAGAATCACCACAGACAGCAACAGCAGCAGTGGTGGTTGCAAGAACCAGCTCTTGCTCCTCTCAGGATATGTCATGTTATGGATGCTCCTCTTTCAAGATGCCACACTCTACATAATAGTGTTGATGTAGTTCAGAACTGCTGATTTAGCTAAGATGCTTTAGCCTCTGTGGACTTTGACTAATAAATATTTTTAGCAAATAAATAAATCAAAACTAATGACAATAAGCCCAGTGTGGTTCAGTGGATAGAGTGGGGGACTAGGACTCAGGAGCCCTGAGTTGAAATCCCTGCTCAGCCATGGAAACTCACAAGGCAGGCGGTGATGAATCCACTACTTATGTATCTCACTTACTTATTAGGGTTGCTATAAACTGGATGTGACTTAACAACACAAAACAACAGCAATTGTAGTAATAGACAACAAAAACCAAGGTTGCCTCTAGTCAAAAAGCCTTTTAGGGAAGACAAAATATAATCCTAGTTTGCAGCTTCTCATTCACGTCTCATCAAAGTTTCTTTTACTGTATTTTCACTGAAGTGCAAAATGAAAGCTGTGAAATGCATGGAAAAATTCCTGAAGCTTATAATGAACTGTGAATTACAGTTTATTTAAAAATAGCACCCATGTAATAGCATTAGGGCAATCATTTTGAAACAAATAGGAAAGCTCTGATATATGTGACCAAACTGATATTGTGTCTGTTATTGTGACTGCTATTGCTATTGTTGTTGTTGCTGCTGCTACTACTACTTCAGTGTTATTGGATCACACATATATACACAATGATTGTCATGTGGAAAGATTTGCAAGAATACCAAAATGGAAGGCTGGTAATGTGTAACACTGAGTTGTCATTGTCCTCCTGAACCTTCTACAGGGTTTAGTGAAAGCTGAAGAAGCATACTGTATTCTGAATCAGCCTCTTCAGTTTCCCACATGGCCATGCTCCATCAGGCCCCACAGAAACAAATTCCACTTCTCTCAAATGTTTCATCATGGAATCCATTCGTATGTTCAGATGTAAATCACTTCAATGAGATGATAATGAGTGACATGCAACATGTGATAAGTGAGTAGGGTATTTATTATTTATGGATGGGATGGGATGACTGCCTCAAATATTAGGGGTTAGTTCCTTTATTACCTTCTGATAACACTATTTTTCAGCTTTTGCTATAAGGTCTGATACTTGGCATAGTGTGTAAATGGAGTTCCCTTCTTTTTAAGGAAATTTAGCCTGTGTTACCTTTTGGTCCACCAGCATGATGATGGGGATCTTTTATAATATAGTTATATATTGCTCCTCACAATATATTACAAACAAATAAAAACAGGACAGCTGGCAGCTGCTGGGGTGCAACAGTGGCAGCCTTCTGGCTGTTTATCTAATTTAATCTATAATCTTAGAACTGCAGAGCTGGGAACCCAATGGATCATTGAGTCTAGTCCATGTCAAGGAGGCACAGTGGGGAATCAAATTCCCAACCAAACCATTGAGCTATCCAACAGTTCCGGATGGTTAACTAGTGAGCTGCTTGTGACTAAGGTAAGAAATGTGGTGCTGGGGAGAGATTTTCCAGCTCGCAGTTACAGTGCTGTACCAGCACAGGCAATAATTCTCTATGATCCTAAAGGATCATAATCATGATATAAATTCTGGCTTTTCTGATTCTCATATGCAGTTTTTTTTTCTCTTAACCAAGATGGTGACAGATTTTCTGTTGGCTATAGTGTTCACATTTTCCAGAGTGATTTTTATGCAAATAATACAAACGAATGAGACAACTCCATAATGAACTTTATAACCAATGAGATTCCTCATTAGCAGGCAAAAGTGGGACAGGATTTTTATCCCTTCCTTCTAGACAGAAGCCTACTCAGGGTAGCTCACAATATATTACAAACAAATAAAATTGAGCTATCCAGCAGTTCCGGATGGTTAATTAGTGAGCTGCTTGTGACTAAGGTAAGAAATGAGGTGCTGGGGAGAGATTTTCCAGCTCACAGTTACAGTGCTGTACCAGCACAGGCAATAATTCTCTATGATCCTAAAGGATCATTATCATGATATAAATTCTGGCTTTTCTCATTCTCATATGCAGTTTTTCCCCCTCTTAACCAAGATGGTGAGAGATTTTCTGTTGGATATAGTGTTCACATTTGCCAGAGTGATTTTTATGCAAATAATACAAACGAATGAGACAACTCCATAATGAACTTTATAACCAATGAGATTCCTCATTAGCAGGCAAAAGTGGGACAAAATTCTTTCCCCAAAAAGTTCTCTGTAATTGGTGCAAATTCTCTATTTATCTTTCCCTCTGAAAAGCGAAGCATGCAAACAGATACACATAAGCATTAGCATAGCATAGGCATCCTTCAGTCTCGAGAGACTATGGTAACATGCTCTGAATCGAGGAGTGTCCTCTCCAGAGCATGAAGCCCGGGTAAGGTAATATGGAGGATAGGCTGTTACCCAAGCAGCAGATCCCCCCTCTCCACATTGCTGAAACGGTCCAATGGAAAGGCAAGAACCAATACAACTGGTTCCAGCAATGTCGCAGGAGTTGGCAGAACGACACGAGCTGCCTTCGG